CGAGGTAGAAGTGTCCGGGCTGCTCCTATCCGCCGTCTTCTGCTTCTCTTCTCGGGCCCCGTCGGACTCCGACTCCCTTCTCCGACCCGCTTCTCTCCCCCGTGCCGCCCCCCCCCCCTCGCGAGAGCAGGGGCTCGCCGTCGGGCTCGTCCAGCGGATGGTGACTGAGGAGGTCCTCTCGCCGGAGCAGCTCTGCCTCGGCCGCCAGCGAGCCGCCGAGGGACGCGAGAGGGAGGAGGCCGCACCGCCCGCTCCCCCCTCCCCCGACCCGGCTCCGGCCCTCCCTCTCCTCCTAGGCGCCGAGGACCTTCGCCTCGACAACCCGCGCGCGCCGGAGCTGATCGCCGACTTCCTCGAGCGCCTCCCCGGGTGAGAGCCCGGCACCGCGAGGCCCACACGCGTCCGCGTGCGAGGGCACATTGACCGGCCGGCACGCTTGGGGCTTGGCGAACGGCGAGGCCGACGGGGCCGCGCATGTCCATCAGGCATGTGCGATTGGGCTTGCCATGGTGCATACGCGCATTCGAGATTCGTCCCTGTCTTGAAAAAAATACTACGGGATATTTGGCCAGGGCCCAGGCCGGGCTACTGCGCCTTCTCGTGGAGCACTCCTGTACGGCTTACGCGTTACGGCTCACGGCTCACCTTCGCAGTTCGCACGACGCAGCAAAAAAATTAAATATTCTTAGCTTCGCCCTTGCCTCCGACGCTAGAGACAGTCACCACGGATACATACGTCCGTGGGAGTGCCCCCCTCCCCCACCTGCCCTGCTTACACAGGATAGCATGCCCCGAGAACGGCGGCATTTGGCGGGGGTAACCTGGGAAGGAGGTTTGGTTGTGCTTTCTTTTTTTGCTCTCGAGGGAATGTTCTCTCGACGCCACTGGCCTTCTGAGGTTTCGTACTGGTGACGTCCTTCTTGGCACTTCGGGCGTCGGTGTGTGTGGTGAATTCCCTCGGTTTTTAATGTGTTTTTTATTTATTATTTTTGGCTATATCATCGGACGTTGAGTGGGCACCATCTCCAGTCCATCATCTACGATGCCAACCCGAGCCGTCTGCCGCTCGAGGATCGAGTGGCCTCCGGATCGAATCGGCACCTTGACCCTTATAATTTTTTTCACATCTTGAGCGGGCCCAATTTTGCTCAGATGTACCTCCGAATTCGAACTCACGTCATCACGCTTAGCGCTTGGTGTGTGTCCGTTTTTCGTCACGGGTGTTCGCACGACGCAGCAGAGCCGCGACCTGTTCGAGCTCAGTCCCTTTCCCTCATGCTGCCGTGCGCCTCATACAACCGAGCCCCACCGTCGCCGACCCCCACCATGAAGCTTCAGGCCGGCCCGCGCTCCGCGATGCTCGCCTGCAGCCGCGCCACGTCGGCGCTGGCCGGGTTCGCCGCCGCCGCCCGCTCGGCCGCCGCAGCAGCCTCGCCGACGCGCCCCAGCGCCAGCAGCGCCTGCGCGCGGCGGTAGAGCGGCTTGGCGGCGCCGGGCGAGAGGAGCAGCGCCTCGTCCGCGTGCGAGAGCGCGTCCGCCGGCCGATCCGCCTTGAGCTCGCAGCCGGCCAAGTTGTTGCGCAGCGCGAGGGTCAGCGCGCGCGACGCGTCGCCTCCGCCTCCCCCGCCGCCCGCTGCCATGCCGAGCGCGCGCGAGTACGCGGCGCACGCCTCCTTGGTCCGCCCGGCGGAGAAGAGCGAATTGCCCTCCTCCTTGAGCGACGCGGCGCCGGCGAGCGGGTCGGCGGGAGGCGCAGCGGCGGCGGCGGCAGAGGCGGCGGAGGGGGCAGCGTCGCGCGCTTGGTGGCGGAAGGAGATGAGCTCGACCTGGGCCTGCACGGGCCCGCCGCCGCCGCGCGAGGGCGCGAGGAGCGGCTCGAGAGCGGCTTGCTCTTGCGAGAGAGAGACGCGCGCGAGCTCGCCCCGCCGCATCGAGTGGAGGGCGAGGCGCAGCGCGTCGCCCACGACGCGGCCGTCGTCGATGCCGACGGAGAGGGCGCCGTCCCTCCCGACCGCGTCGCCGCCGAGCGCCGCCGCCGCCGCCGGCACCAGCGAGGCGTTGGCGAGCGACGGCGAGCCGAGCCTCACCTAGGGAGGTTCAGAGAAGGTTCAGAGAAGGTTCTGACCTTCCTAGGCGTGAGAGCCGAGCCTCACCGTCAGCGTCGCCCCGCGCGCGGGCGTCTCCCTCCCCTTGCCGGGCGAGAGGACGCGCTTGAGGACGGAGCGGCCGCCGTCGGAAGAGAGGTCCTCAACCTCGGCCACGGCGTGGAGGTGCAGCTCGAGCCCCAGCGGCCCCGGGCACCCTCCGCCCGCCGCGACGAAGAAGGCTGCCCGCTCGCCCGCCCGCATCGACCCAATCGCGAGAGGAGCCGCGTCGAGGCCGAGGACGCTGCCCGCCTGGTGCAGAGGGAGCTCGAGCCGCTCGTAGCGCTGCTCCTCGTCCACGCAGCCCGCCACGCCCGCCCGCCCGCCCTCTGGCGGCCGCACCACCGCGGTGAGCATCACGTCGTCTGCGCCGCTCGGCTGCGCCGCGCCGGCGGCCGGCGGCTCGACAACCTCCTTTGCGACGCCCGCCAGCATGATGGGCCAGCGTTTGCGGCCGGTGCCGACGAGCGGCGGCGGCGGCGGCGGCGGCGGCGGCGGCAGCGGGCACACTTCGCAGCCGTCGGAACGGGCCGGCAGCGTGCGCTGGCCCAACGCCGCCTCGAGCTGCCTCGCCGCGTCCTCGTGCGCCTCGCGGCACGCGGCGTGACTGCGCTCCGAGGCCGTGACGAGGCTGGCGGAGGAGGCCTCGAGCGCTCGCCAGTGCTCCACCTGCTGCTGTCTGCGCGCCAGCTCCTCGCGCAGCTCCTCGAGCTGCATGCGCACGCTCGCTCCCGCGGCAGCGCAGTCGTCAGCGGCGCCGGGCCGCTCGAGGTGCGTCGCCGCGAGCGCGGCAGCGGCGGCGAGCAGAGCCGCCACCAGCAGCGCCGCAGACGTGGCCTCCGTGGGCATCCGTTTCTCCTCGAAGAGAGCAGTGCTCGCAGCACGCAAGCACCGGCCAAAAAAGGAATTCACCCGCGCCCGGATGTGACGCTGCCAACTGCACTCCAAGTGCTCCAAGTGCTCCAGTCTGCCTTACCCTGGATGTGAGGTTGATAGGCGGCGGCGGCGGCGCAGAACGAGGCAGAGGAGAGCGACGCGACAGAGGAAGAAGCGACCAGGGAGAGCACGACGAGAAGGGGGCGACCGCGAGGTGGCACGAAGGTTGCAGCGAGAATCGGAGGGAGAATGCGAAGAGAGATAGATAGGAAGAGGCGGACGCCCAAGGGTGGGCGACGGCTAGCGCACCACACCCCTCTCCTTAAAATCCCTGTGTGGTGGCGGCGTGCCGTCCTCCCATCCCTCCCTTGGGTTGTCTGTTTTCTTTCTCTTTCTTTCTTTAGGTTGATAGTGCACTCCAAGTGCTCCAAGGGGCTGGACTTGGCTCCTACCACCCTACCCCACGACAACAGGTAGGGGTGCCACATGGGGCACACCACAGGCGTATATTCTAGAGGGGGAAAAGAAACGGGGAATGAGGGGCCCCGCCACGAGAAGTGCGTTCTGGGGATGCAGAGCGTGCAAAGCGGCTAGGGACGAGGCCACAAAAGAGGCGCGCGAGGCAAGGAGGAGACTCGGAGAACTGAGAGACTGGGACGATTGGAAACAAGAAGACAGTGAGCCACCACAGGCGTCGTTGGCGCACATACTGAGCGGCAGCTGCGCTGGAAATAAGGAGGAGGCGCGTCACTTCATGCGGAAGCTTGACAAACACTAGAGAGATTCTCTTGACAAACACACAGCGAGGGCGACAGCAAGAGTTGAACGGGAGGCGCCGGACTCAAAAGACACCGCCACATTCCTGAGACGCGCGAGGGCAGCCTCCTTAAAGGCAATAGGGTCTAGATTCGGAGCGCTCGCCGAAGAGGAGTACGACAAAATAGCGCCCGTGGTTGCATGCACGCTGCCCGCACTCACGGACTCCATACCCGAAAGAAAGAGAGGGGAGCTGCTGGCAGGCACGCTGCCGCTTCCTGTCGTGCTGCGGGCTCGCCAACGGAGCATGCTGTCCACTGCCATCCCTGTATCGTCCTGTACTAGGCCGTGCGAGTACTGGAGCAGCACCGACTGCAGCGGTGCAAAGTTGGAGGGGTTCCGCAACACATAATGCGCCGATTTGAGCAGGACAGTGCACCGACCACCAACGAGAAAGTCTTGGAAGACCCGTAGCACTGAGCTCTTGCGGATGTCGACCTGGCCGAAGTAGACACGGACCTCTCGTCGCCTGCTCGCGTCCCAGATCTGCATTCTCAACCAGCGGAACCTGTTCGCCCATCCAGTGTCGCTCAGGTTCAAGCCTTGCCCTCCGCCGAAAACACGTCCGTTAGCACCGAGTTCACTTTTGGAGCTGTCTGGAGTCTCACCATCTGGAGCGTCGGTGTAGAGGCCGCTGAAGTTCGACACAGAGTAGCGACTCGCCCGGCCCGCCACTGAGAGTCCGGCAAGAGAAAGCACAGAGCGCAGCAGAAGTGGCACCGCGCACGATGTCCTCGCAGACAAATTGAGAGGTCCACCGGAAAGCGCAAAGTTGGCGCCTTCGGTCATCTTCTGCACACGGTGGAGATGGGCCATCGCGTGGCTGGTCGAGATCCGTCTCATCAGGCAGTCCTCAGTACCAATGTTCTCGAGGCCAAAGAGCACGATTTCGGACGCATTGGGGAAGAGGAGGAGCGGCGTCATCAGGTCAGGCCCCCCAAATGGATACAAGAGGCGTGTCGCACCGAATGTGCGCTGGAACTAATCCCACCAAGCATGTCTCTTTCTGTTGTCCGCCGTCGACGTCGCTCAAGTCTCCCGGTACGTACTTTTAGCTTACTGGGAGAAAATCTCTCTCGGTACGTACTTTTAGCTTACTGGGAGAAAAGAGAGAGGGGGTTGTGCTGCGCATGACCGAGTGGGACGGGCAGCCGCGCAGCTTTTACTTGCCGCCCGAGCACAAGGCCAGGTCGGGCGGAAGGGGCGCCAAGTGAACTTCTTGTGGCTTGTGGGGCTGTAAGCAACATTTCCAAAACAAATTATTGTAATTGATGATTCGACTCGACCTGTGGATTCGAGGCGTCGCAAAGGTGCTCTCATACCCTCTCCCTGCTTCGCCTGCACGCGCGCGATCACATTCCTCACTCCATCGACTTAGTGTCGCCATAGCCTCCCACACCCGAATCTAGCCGCTGTGGACTCTGGGAAACCAGCCCGGACCCCGGCAACGGGCCGCCGCTCAGCGCTCTCTCAGCACGCAGGCCGGACAAGAGCAATATATCAACGAGCGCGGCCCCGTAGCCTCAGTTCACCACTGCTATAGTTAACTTTAAGGTCATACTGCTTCCGACCCTCCATCAGTATCCTGAGCGTCATCACCCTGTTGTCTACGCGGCGTGCGACGCTGTTCCGTGGCTTCCCTGCTTACTGCCTCCTGCTCCTTGCGCCTGATCGTCACGCCGCTTGTCGCATAGTCCTCGAGCGCCTGCTCAAAGGTGCTGCGAAAGATCCACTCAAACTCGGCCAGCATCTGCGGCACCATCAACTGGTCCGCCTTGCCCGTGAAGCGCGCCTTCTCGATCGCGCGGCATGCCTCGGCGAGCACCTGCTTCGGCGGCAGGGAGCACTCGCGCGCCACCGGCGCCTCTCCCGCGATATCGTACACCTTGGCGCGGCTAGCTTGTGCCCTGCAGAACCGCCTCGGCAGCGCCTTGCCCTTCTCCGACGCCTGGCTCTCCGCCGCGGTGAGGTGCGCCAACACCGTCATGCTCACGCCTTGCTCGAAGATGCACCAGCCTCGCCCGCCCTCGCCTTCGTACGGCGTTGAGTTGTACTCGCCCGGTCCAAACCCAGTGCTGGCGCCGGGGGGGATGACTACATCGCGTTGCTGGAGAACGGCCGTTCCAGTCACACTCGCGTAGAAGGACCCCATGATCCCGTCTTCAATGACGCGCTTGAAGATTGCAGCGTCCTCCTCGCTCCGCACCTCGCCGTTGGGCCCCTTTTGCGGAAGGCTACAAAAGTCCCAGAAGAGCCCGGTGTCGCTGGAGGTCGACAGTCCACGGAAGAGCCCCGCATCGCTGACTCCGGTGTCGCCGGCCGCCGCACTTGCCGTGTCGTAAGAGAGAAAGCGGCGGACGGCGGCAAGGGTGGTGCCATGAGGGTCCGGGTGCAGCGCCGTCAGCCAGCCGTGAGAGAGCGACAGGACAGACCGGTCGCCTCGCTCGAGCATTGCCACCGCCTCGTCACAAGGCACAAACGCTTCTGCCGGCAGGTCCTGACGCCTCTTCATGATGACGGCGCCAGAGGCATCGCGGTCGAGGTAGGCGTCGGAGGCGGGCGACGCCAGCCAGCTGCAGCGGAGCAGCCGCACCGAGCCGTCGCGAAGCCGGTCAGCGAGCGAGCCGTCAATCTTGGAGTCGGCGGCGGAGAGGATGGCGGAGAGGTCGACGTCAGCGAGTGCGCGGCGGGTTTGCCGCAGCTTGAGGATCGAGTAGGCAGCGCCAGCGACGAGGCTGCCGAGCAGCAGGACTATCATGAGCGCCTCGAGGCCCACCCGCTCCTGCTCATATTTGTCAGCATCTGGTGGAAGCATTTTGCGTACTCGCAAACGTGAATTAGTCGACTACTCGTCGCCCTGAATGGTTGCCCAGGTTACTCAGGACACGATCCCGGCGTGAACACGACGAACTACCCTTCTCCGATGCACGCGCGGCACGCGCCACGGCGCGGCGCGTGCCGCCGTCTTTGTTTTAAGTAAAAAGTCGAATCAGAGCGGTGTCGGCGTTGTCCTGAGTTTTCTCCTTCGGACCGCCCAACCGGGACCGCTCCGGGACGCACGCCGGCGAAGCACCATCAAGCTGCTGTGCGGCCCCGGCATCGCCTCCCATGGCTTAGCTAGACTGAGATATATTGTGCACAAGGTTGGCCTCTACAATATATACACTGACACTCTACCTCCCAGAGCTCGTCCCGGTCCGCCACGGCCATCCTCGCACCTCGGCCTCCGGAGGGCCCCCGGCCGCGGCGCGGTGCGGCGGCGTCACAAATCCGATAGAGAGAGAGATTTTTAGCGTTGTTTGTGTTTTGCAAAATCCGACCACAGAGCACCGGGACGCGGTCGGGCGATCTGAGGTCCAACTAGGCGTATGCATTGCCCATCCAGGGCTATCACCTGGACCCATCAACAGGCGCCTGCGGCGCCGTGGTCACGAGGTGTTGTTCACACCTGGGCAAGCATTCAGCACAGTACTACTCGAGTAGTAGGCTGGGTGCACCAATAGAAAACTTCACAGCGGACGCCCAAGGGCGGGCGACGGCTAGCGCACCATCTCTGTGTGGTGGCGGCGTGCCGTCCTCCCAGCCGGTCCGTTCGCTGTCCTGAGGTTCGGCCTGTCCATTCAAGCTGTCCATGAGCGACGCCGCGGTGCGCGCATACCTCGCCGAGCACGGAGCTCCGTCGGCGGCGTCCGCGGCGCAGCAGGCCGCGCTCGACGCCTGCACCGTCGACCAGGTTCCGATCCTGCAGTTGCTCTATCAGCCGTGCGGCGCCGGCATGCACGGCTTCGCGTGTGGTGTTCGGTGGGGCGTCGACGAGGAGTTCCTCCCGTCCCCTCGCCGCTGGCTCCGCCAGTGGGGCCGGCCGCACGCGGCGCTTTGCCAGCGCGGCTTCTTTGCTGCCCTTGCCGCCGTCCTCACGCGCGCCCACTGGGAGCAAGAGTGGGACGCGCAGCCCTTTCGCATCGCAGCGGTGCCGCCCCGCACAATGGGCAAGATGGTGCATCAGCTGGCGACGGCAAACTACTACCACTTCACCCTTGGCCCGAGGCAGCGGCCGGCGCTGCGCGGCTCGCCTGCGCCCGGCTCGCGCTTCCGGCCGCTTCCCCAGCCGGGCTTCCGGTGGAACGTGCTCGACTTTGGCGGGGGCGGGCGCGAGGAGATCGACTTTGAGCGGCTCAGCAGCATGCCCGGCAACGTCTTCTCCCGCCCGCTCGCCGCGGGCCGCCGCTGCGCCGCCGTCCGCGCCGCGTGGCACTGCCTCTGGCACCGCTTCCCGAGCCAGCCCCTCCCGCACGTGCCTGCGAGAGGGACGGCGGTGGCGCAGGCGGCGGAGGCGCTCTACAACGCCTCCCTCGCCGGCGAGCAGCCCGGAGGGATGATGCAGTACGTCGCCGCCACAAGTGTCTTTGGCGCCTTCACGCAGCCCACACAGGCGCCGCTTGCACGCCCTCGTCCACGGCACACGACAGACGGCACACGACGCACGTCCACGGCACACGCCTCACGACTCACGGTCCACGACACACCTCCCTCGCCCTCGCCCGCCACCCGTCCGAGGACGACCTTGGCTCCAGGCCTCGGCCCCCACCCCGGCCCACGCCCCCCTCCTCGCCCTCCTCGCCCTCCTCACCCTCCTCGCCCTCCTCAGGCCGTGCGCGACTACCTCGCAGAGCACCTGCGGGCGGTCTGCCACGTCGGGGGGCCCTACTGCGGCGGCGGCGGCGGCGACGCGGAGCGCACGCCCGTCGCGGCGGTGCACGTGCGGCAGGGCGACTCGTGCGACCGCAAGGTGGACGAGCCAGGCCCGTGGAACGCGATGTGGCGGCCGGACCCGAAGCGGCCGGGCAAGCTCACGCGCGAAGGCGTCGGCCGGCGCTGCTACTCGTGGCGCGTGTACCGCCAGCAGCTGCAGACCCTCCGCGCAAAGTACGGCGTGCGGACGGTGCTGCTCGCCACCGACGACCACACCGGCGAGGTCGTGCGCGCGCTGCAGGGCGAACGCGACTTCAACTGGGTCCCCGTCTCGCCCCGCCTCGCCGACAGCAGCTCCGCTGCCGGTCGACGAGTGATCAGCTGGTCGACCCCGCTCTAGGTCTACCTCGACTACCCGCGGCAGCAGTTCCGCAAGCGCGCGTGGATGGAGTTCCGGTCCGACCTCGACGAGAACGCGCCCTTCTCGCTCGCGGCGGAGCTCGAGCTCCTCTCGACCGCAGACCTCTTCGTCGGCAGCATGGGCTCGCACACGTCCCGCTCCGTCTACATGCGGATGGTCTCCTCCTCGCGCACCTCCCAGCTACCGCCCTTCATCTCGGTCGACGGGTACGGACTCTGCTGCGACTTCACCGAGGAGTGTGGTGTGAACAGCGTCTCTTCACACCTCTAGCTGTGAACAGGTACGGACTCTGCTGCGACTTCACCGAGGAGTGTGGTGTGAACAGCGTCTCTTCACACCTCTAGCTGTGAACAGGTACGGACTCTGCTGCGACTTCACCGAGGAGTGCACGCGCGAGCAGGTTCGCGGCCGCGCCCGGCCGGTGCGCGAGTGCATCTACCGATTCGGCGCGGTGACGGGCGGGGAGCAGTGGATGTACCACCGGGGGTGAGGTCTCAGCGACCGGCGATGTGTGTGAAAATGGGTTGAGAGGCGGGCAGAGCGCCTGTCTCAGCGGCAGCCGGCGGGGTCCTTCGTCGTCAGCACAGTGACAGTCAGACACGCAAAGCCCAGGTTTGGGGCTCCTCTAGCCGGAAGGGGTCGGCGGTAGCCTCTCTTCTACCGAGGAAGGAGAGAAGAAAAACACCGGGCCGGTCGAGTCGACTGTCTCAATCGCCGCACGGCGCGCGCGGCGGCGACCGCCAGCTTCACATATGCAGTGCGCCGTGTGTCCTTCCAGCCCCGCAGCGATGGCTCTGAGCCTACCCTGCAGCCACGTGATGTGCGCCTCGTGTGCGGCGTCGGCGCTGGGCCGCACACGCCGCTGTCCTGTGTGTGACGCAACCGCCACGTCAGCAGCGCCTGCAGAGCCGTCAGCGAGCACAGTTGTCATCAAGCACAATGGCGCCGCCTTTACTCTCGGCGTCGTGGACGATGAGCCGCTCTATCCGCTGTGCGTCTCTGTGTGGCGCTACCCCGCTGGCCGCGTCAAGCTCATCTCGCGCGGCACGGTGCTAAAGCGGGAGGAGGCGCGTGCAGTCCCAGGCATGGTGCTGCAGTTGATGGCATCCAGCGGCGCGATCGAGCCAGTCGCGATCCCTAGACTGCGGGTGCGATCCGCGGAGTGGTGGGAGGCGGCCACCGGCTTCCTGCGAGCGACGTGGACGGCACTGCCCGCCCGCGGCCACTGGCTGTCGTGGATGTGGCGGTTGGTGAGTACCGTCACCCTCTTCTTTCGCTCCCTCATCGCACCGATGCCTCCGCCGGCACCTCGCGAAGGGCCGCGGTAGGGGAGATATTGCAGTCGCAGTGGCCGCCCTGCGCGTGAGCGTTTTCGCGCGGCTGCGAGAGCCTCTCAGCCGCGCGCGTACTTTTCTCGAATCACAGTCAGCCGCGCTCGCGCCCTAGTGGCGCGTTCGAGAGATTTTGCATTTTCCTTGGTATGCGTTGAGCACCGCCGTGTACGAGGCGATAACACATGAGACATGTGTACGTTGGGCTTGGCGCTTTGCGCGCGTACGTCAGTAGGGGTTCACACTCTGGGCCGGCGCGGGGGCCCCCGGCCCACACCGTGCGCCGCGCAGCAGTGCGGAAACGGGGCTCCGGCTCTCAGAGTCTCTCAGAGCACCGACTTCCCGATTGATCACGGTTGATCAGAGGGCAGATTTGGAGAGATCTCGAGGAGTACATACAGATAGACCCTCCAATCATCAGAAAACTCCAACCTGATCGGTCGTACTGACCGCCGACAGATCACTCCAGACAGCAGACAGGCCGACGTCTGCACGCGGCCGGCCGGGCGAGAGGCTTGACACGATCCGACCCTGCGACCCTGACGCTGCTGCTCTAGCTATCAGCCATGCACTGCTGACTGCTGCCACAATGTGCGACCTGTGCTGGCCCACTTGGCGGCCTTCCCGGTCAGTGGTGAGGCGCAGTTCAGAGCTGTCGATGGCGCGATGCCGCACTGGTCCCACATTGGTGACACGAGACCACCAAGTTTGCCGGTCCAAGAGAGAGGCACCGGCGCTGTCCTGAGAAGGTGCGTGGTCCCTCTTGACTGCCCATGCGCGCGAGGCTGTGTAGGCATAGCCTCGAGAGTGCCAGCAGCCCATCCGAGGTGACGCGCATTGCGCCAGAAGCGTGCACGCAGCTGGAAGGACACCTTCCTACTGGCCGTACGATCAGGTCGTCACTGAATGCTTAATACTAAGGCCGCGAGCTATGCAGGTGATCAATTGTGCATCATGGCACGGTCAGCTGCGCCGACAGGCTGTCGCAAGGCGTGATAGCATGGCCGCAAGTACGCCGAATTCCCATGAAAACAAGTAAAAAATTGCGAAAAAAGAAAAAAGTCGAAAAAATCGGCGCCTGCGGCGGGCCATGGGACCCCATCTCCCCCCCGCATGGACACCCTCTGGGCCCCCCGCGCCGGCCCGACGCTGCCGCGCGCGACTTTGCGCGCGAGGCGGCGCAGAGCTTGAAAACGGCAGTGTTTGTTTGTTCGTGTGTGTGTGCGTGGTTGAGACCACATTGCGATTCGTCCCTGTCTCACTCTCAGCGTCTCAGCGTGTCTCAATAGATCCATCACTCCGTCTCACTTCCGTCTCACTGCAGTCTCTTACTGCCTTCTCGTCCGTCTCAGCGCGGCAGGCTCCCGAGAGTGCCCGACAGCGCCCGAGAGCGCCCGGGAGTGCCCGAGAGTGCCCGAGAGTGCCCAGATTGCCCGAGAGTACCCGTGCAACGTCGTGATGTGGTCGGGGCAGTGGGAGGCGCCCGAGAATACCCGATTGCCCGAGGTTGCGTGCTTGGGCTCCTGCCACTGCCCCATTACGGAGCAAACTATTGAGACACGAGGGGACGCTGAGAGTGAGACAGGGACGAATTCACGTGAGACTGAGACGAATCCCCGAAATTTCCGTTTTTGCTCGCCTTCCCTGGGAGCCCGAGTTGCGTGACTGTCTCTGTGCGATTTCGGGCCCGGGGCTGTGCGTTATGAAGACGCCGTTGCGAAGTGCAAAGCGCCGCGCTGTCAAAGCTCACATGCCGTCCACACGCTGCGAAATCAACCCTCAGGCAAACGTGCTCATCTACGACGACACGAGAAATGACAGCTTCACCGCGTGGGAGAGACAGTTCTGGGCGTGGTGGTCGTCGGAGGACGCCTCCGTGCGGCCACAGCTGGTCACTGCGCTCGAGCTGCGTGCCTGCCGCCTCGACGATTACGGCGCACTCCACACGTGGGTCCATCCCGCAGGCAGCGCGAATCAGAGCCTCGACGATGCTACGCGGCGAAGCGTGTTGGGGCTAGCTGCGCGCGGCGCGCTGTTTGTCGGATCATTTGACAGCGCGGCGCTCCTCGGCCTCTTCGACGCGCCGCTGGAGCGTCCTTCCGACCTCGCGGGGCTTGCGGCGAACGGCAGCAGCACGGTGAGGCTGACACCTACTCGGGTGCCAAGCGAGGAGCGGCGCGCTGTCTACCTCGGTGGGGCCACGCTCGACGGCGAGGAGCAGGCAGGGGGGCAGGCGACCGCCCCTCCACCTCTGCCCCCGGGCGGGTCTGTGGCCGCCATCTTCTCCGGCCTGTCGAGGGCGCTGCCCGCCGTCGTGCGGGTGCGGCCTCCGGAAGGAGCCGCGCACCTGCTCTGCTCGTCGGTCCTCCTGACGGCGAGGCCGAGGGACGGCTCGGACTCCCTGCTGGGACTCGTGGACGCAAGCAAGAACTACGAGCTCCGCCGCGCCCTGATCGCAGCGGAGCTCACGCACGGCGCGGCGGAGCGGCAGAAGGCGGCGGTGCTCACCTTTGTTACCGGCTCGCTCGGCCTCGTCGCGGCGGCGATCCTCCTCCTCCTCCTCACGCCCCTCCTCTGCCGCCTCTGCCGCCGCGGGCCGCCCTGCCCTCGCGCCGGCGATCCGCCACCGCGGCGTGGCAGCGGGAGCAAACTCGTCTGCAAAAGAGTCTCTCTCTTTCTTTTGCGGATAGGCGCGGCCAAGGGCGCACCGGCGCGCGGGGCATCTCCGGCGCTGGCGCGGCTGCGCCGCTGGGTCTCGTCCACTGCGGTCTGCGCGCTCCAACGCCACACTCCCAAAGAGTCCCGCTCCTCCATCATGAGCGCGCGGGCTGCGTTGGGTTTAGGCACCGACGCCTCTGATCATGAGCCCCGTGGAGCGGGTCGACTCGACCGCGGAGCTCACATCGTCCGCATGATCTCATGGCTTTACCTCATGGCTTTACCTCATGGCTCGAACCGCGCGCGCCGGCGCGCCGCTGCGGTCGGTTGGTCGTGGCAGCCGAGATCCTCATCCTGGCCGAAGTCATTGTGCCGAAGTAGGAGCTAGAGTAGGAGTCAGACAGCGCAGCAGAGGAGAGTCGCACGGCTCCCTCTCTCTTTCGGGGCACTGGCCTTTGCCCACTTTCTTCCTTGTGCTACTGACGTTAACGAGAGACAGACGAGAGAGCCTGAGCGCTGAGGGTGGTGTGGCGGCGGTTGTGTGTGGTCGGTCGTGCTCGGTCTACCCGCTCTCTCTCTCTCGTCAACTTCAAGTTCATTCATTCAGTGCGAAAAAGAAATCAAGCGCCAGGTTGGTCAGCTTGCTGTCTGTGGGCCCGAGAGCGATATGCCATGTGCGCCTTGCGTTTGTTTCATTACATCGAGGTTAGGTTAGGGGTATGGGTGGACGCGGGACAGAATGAAATGATCGAAGGCTCGCTCAAAAAGAAAATCATCGTGCGCAGGTTGGTCACTCTCACTGGCCCCTACACACATGTGCTGCCATGAGCGAGCAGGGGCTGTGCCCGGAGCGGGCCCCGGTGGCCAGGCGGCGCTCTGCTCGGCGCGCCTCGCGGGCCGCCCACGCGGCGCCTCATGTCACCCAGGCGTCGGTGGACGCTGCGGCTTCAGTCGCAGCTGACCGTATTGCGGGAAACCGCCGGTCCGAACCCACGCATGACGGTGCCGTTCGCAGCCGCTACGGCTCCCCTCCCGTCTGGGCCGAGGTTGCGTCGGGCTCCAGTGCTCGTGCCCACGCGCAGCGCATCGGGCGGGAGGCGATCGAAGGGGAGCGCGTGGGCGGCGGCGGCAGACGGCACGCCGTAAGGGAAGGGGAGCCGCAACGGCGCAGCGGCAGCGGGCAGACGGTGGCGTCAGCGTCTCAAGCAGAGGAGCTGCGGGTGACCGCGTCACTTGGCATGACGCCGCAGTACGCGGCCGAGCCCGGCGCGGCTGCGCGCCAGCAGCGCTCGCTGCGACGCGCGGCGGTGGCGGCGGCGGCGGCGGCGGTCTCGCACCCACCCGGCCTGTCGCGTAGCCGGGACACGGCCGCCTCGGAGGACTTCTGCAGTGATCGCGCGGCGGGGGTCTCCTCTGCTGGCAGCGAAGGCGTCGCCACGGCACCCTGCGCTGGCGCGGGCGAGGAGCTTGCTGCTGCGCCCGACTATGCGACGCACCGGATGGCGGCAATCGCGTCGGCGCTGGCGCAGGGGGGCGGTGGGTCGGCGGCGCTGCAGCAGGAGCTGCAGCACGCGCTCGCGTGGCAGGCGACGCGCGGCCAGTACCCTCCCCCGCCGGCCATCTTCGGCCATGCCTCCGGGGTGGCTGTACCTGGAGGGCTGGCTGTGCCTGGAGGGCTGGCTGTGCCTGGAGGGCTAGCTGTGCCTGGAGGGCTAGTGTCTCCAGTGCCTCCGGGGGGCGCGCCGCTCGGCGTGCCGGGGGTGGGCGGGGAGGTCTACGCCCTGGGGGAGGGGCACCTCCGCCCGCTCGGCCCCCGCGCCCTCGCCCCCGCCGGCCTGCCTCCCACCGCAGACAGCAGCCTCCTTGCCTCCTTCCCGGCGCCGCTGCTCGTGCCGCAGCTCGCGCAGGCGCAGCTCACGCAGGCGCAGCTCGCCTACCCCGACGGCGGCGTGGCCGGAGGCTTGCTCTACGCTGGCAGCGGTGCGTCGCTCGGTGCGCCGCCATCGCTTTGCCCCCCCCCCCACCACCACCAACACACACACACACACACACACACACACACACACACACACACACACACACACACACACACACACACACACACACACACACACACTGCACCCCCCCTTTCCCCTCCACCACGCCAGGAGTGCCTCCCCCGACGGTGAGTCAGCTCGCGAGCCCAGTCGTGTACGGCTTCGCGCCGCCCGCGCCGGTCGTGTACGGAGTCTTGGCGATGCAGCCCGCAGCGGCACTCTTCCTCGCGCCCGACGTCGCCGGCCACTCCCTCTCCGCCATGCAGCGCCCTCCCGCGCACGGCCTCGCCGCTGCGCCGTACCCCGAACCGTACCCCGGGCTGGCCGAGCACTCGCCGCTGCCGCAGATGGTGCCTGTGCACGCAAGCCACGCCGGCCTCGCCCCCGCCGCCGGCCTCGCCCCCGCCTCCGTGCCGCACGCTATCCGCTCCGCCTCTCCGCTCTCCGCCTGTCCGCTCTCCGCCTCGCCGCTCTCCGCCTCTCCGCTCTCCGCCTCTCCGCTCTCCGCCTTCCACTACCCGCCTCGCCACGCGGCGGCGTCCCCGCCGCTGCCGCCGCTGCCGCCGCTGCAGAACGCCAACCGCGCCCGCGCCGTCGGCGATCGCGCCGGCCGCATCTTCTCGACGCAAAAGACCGCCTACTACATGGAGCCGGGCGACCCCAACCCCGTCCTCATCCTGCCGCCGGAGCGCGACGCGCTCGAGCCGCCCGCCGCCGCCGCCGCCGCGCCCTTGCCGATGGGCGGCGACGCGGCGGCGGCGCTCGGCGCGTCCTTCGGCGTCTCGCTCGCGGTCGTCTCGATGATCAAGCAGCCCGCCAACTTCGAGACGTGGCTCAGGCCGAGACACTGCCTGGACACTTCTCACACACCTCCTGCACACCGCCTCGACACCTCCTGCACGCTGAGACGTGGCTCCGGCGCCCCACGCCTCGCGCCCGCTCCGCCGCAGCTTCCACCGCGACTCGCTAACCCTAACCCTAACCCTAACCTCCACCGCGACTCGCTAACCCTAACCCTAACCCTAACCGCAGGTACCACCGCGACTCGCTGGGCGTGACCCGCTTCTACTTGCGCGTCGAGGACACGCCGTCGCTGGAGGCGCTGCTCTCGTCGCCGCGCTGGGCGGGCTTGGTCGAGGCCGAGTTCCACTCGCGCGGGGAGCGAGACTACTTCGAGCAGATGGACCGCCAGTCGGGCCACATCGCCTCGGTCATCCCGCGCGCGCGCGCAGCGGGCCTCACGCACCTCCTGCACATCGACGATGACGAGCTCGTCTACTGCGCCGCCGGGCTGCCGCCGCTCTTCCGCCTGCTGTCGGCGGCGGGCGTCGAGCGGCCGAACGTGCACATGCAAAACGTCGAGGCGCTGCTGCCCGCGCCGGACTGCGACAACCCCTTCGCCGCCGTCCGCTCCTTCCGCCACTTCCCGACGCAGTATTGCTCGTACACCAACGGAAAGTCGTTTGGCGTGCTCGCCGCCGCAGGCCTGCGCTCGCACGGTCCGCACCACTTCCGCTCCGCCGCGACGTGCGGCGGCGGCGGCGCTGGCTCGCTCGACCTGCCTGCGGGCGTGGCGGTGGTGCTGCACTACGAGAGCGCGACGTATGCAAAGTGGCGCACAAAGTACCTCGAGCTCGCGCGGCGGCACGGCGATGCGCCCGAGGTGCTCTCGCGTGTGCCCTTCGCCTTTTACCGCCAGTCGCTCTCGAGCGCGCGCAAGCTGCTGCACGCCGAGGCCGAGGTGCGGCTGCGCACGCCGGCAGCGGCCGAGCGGATGCGCGCCGCCGAGGAGGGCGCGGTGCGGCTGTGGTCAAAGTGGAAGGTCGAGCCGGAGGGGCTGCCGCCGCCGCCGCCGCCCGGCGAGACGCCTCTCGTCCTCCCGCAGGGCATCACGAGGCTCTCGCCCGGCGGCGTGACGGCCTCGCCGGGCCGAGCGGCGCCCGATGGGTAGCCCTGGAGACGCGCCTTGCTTCCGCCCCGCTGCGCCAGCCGGAGTGGCGAGGCAGGGCGGTGCGCGGGGGAGGGAGGGGGAGAGAGAGAGAAGCAAGCGAGAGAGCGCGCAAGAGAAGGAGCAGAGCAGAGGAGAGCAGAGGAGAGGAGAGGAGAGGAGCAGAGCAGAGCAGCAGAGCAGAGGAGAGCAGAGGAGTAGAGCAGAGGGGAGCAGAGGAGTAGAGCTCGAGGAGTAGAGCGGACGGGACACTGTTGAGGCGATCGTTGCGGCCCCCGCCGTAGGTTGTGCCCGCATGGTTGTGCCGCACCAGCTCGCCCTAGAGTGTAGAGAATCGTAGGAATGTGCTGTGTGTGTGCTGTTTAGACTAAGCTTATAACACTCTATATCAGGGGACAGGTCACTTCGCGGCCTCAGCGCGACCGCTCTGACGATTTTTTGTGCAGAACGTGTGCGGTCTCTCTGCGGAGTGGAGAGGAGAGCCCGGCGGGCCCCGAAGCTACTTCATCCGCGAGTACGATCCCTGCCTGACCATGTCACCGAGACTGCCGAGGAGGGAGATTAGGCCGACGGCCATATTCACGGCACCCACGCACACGCCGAACGTGCCGGCGAAAGCAAAGTTGCAAAAGCACGCCAGACCAATGTGGGCGACGGCGGGCGGCGGTGAAGCTGAGGCCCAGATGCCAAGGAAGAGAGGCCCCCAGATGTCCAGGCAGGCGCTCGGCTCGAGCGGAAAGGCTGAAAGGAAAGCTGGATTGCACGAGCTGGACAGATCACCACAATCCAGCTTGGGCATTTCGAGCTGGTTGACCGTAGGCCATGCATGGATGAGCCCGACAGCGATCGTGCCGACAGCGCCGACGGCAGAGAGCGATCGCGTGGCGTCGCTCATCGTCGTGTGTCCACGGCGGTTTCTGGTAGCGCTCTGAGAGCTGGCTCTGGGAGCTGCTCGCCGCCGCAGACTCTTAGTTGTCGAGCACTCCACACAAACAGGGAAGTCGGCGGCAAGTGTATTTTATTTTTGCTTCGGCATGCCGGGGTAGGTAGGGTAGGTCTGGGCCCTCCCGCCGGGTTTTCCCCTCTCTTCACGCTGGAATTTTCACAGCAGAAAAAGAAAATTTCGGCGAAAATCACGACGTCAACCCTCCCCAAATGGGTGATCTGATGCTTGTAGGGCTTGAGAGTGGCCTGCCATGTCACAGGAAGGACTGTGGTTGCAGGAGAGTACCACCATCCATCACTTTAGTTGGTGTAGTACCCCACCTTCACCCGTCGGTGATTTCTTTTTTAGTTTCCCATAAGTAGGGTAGGTAGGTAGGTAGGTAGGTAGGGGCACCGCAGGGGCCGGTCAGGTTTTTGCAGAATTTCAGCATGAGGTCCGGCCAAGCAAAAATAAAATACACCTGGTCGAGGATATAATAATCCGTGGACCGTGGTCACACGTGTGAAGAGAAGGGCTCTCTCGGCTACGGGGCCGGCCCCAGCTTCGGCTGAGGGCTGACAAGCTGCCGAGCCCAAATCACTGTGAGAGTCGTGATTTCTTGTTGGTTTTCTAAAATCTCTCTCACGTGTGTGTGTGTGTGTGCCATCCCTCCCTTGGGTTGTCTGTTTTCTTTCTTTTCTTTCTGTGCGACTCACTCACGTCGTGCAACCGTGTTAATGCCAGTGCGCGCCAGTCCCGTGCCCGGTGTTGTAAATAAATGAAACGGTCTTGCCTAGCTAGGTGTGAGAGAGAGAGATTTTTAGAAAGCCAACTCTCTCAAGGTGTGTGTGTGTGACGCCTAGCTAGGGCTGGGTCGAGGACAGAGTCACTTCTCGCAACCGGGGCACTTTGAGAAGTTCCTGCGTCTCGGTCGCCTCCACTACGAGGACAACATCTCCTCGCCCGAGTTCGTCCCGACCAGCGACCAGTGCGCCGACATCTGGACGAAGGCTCTCGACAAGACGACCTTCCTCAAGCATCGAGCCAAGCTCGTCCGCTGGCTGATCTACTAGATCGGCTTCTCCCATGTTGTTCAATTCCAGCACGTTCACTAGCTCGCGCCCCTGATCAGCGCGACGCCTTACCTTTGTTGTCTCTGCAGACAATGGGGGAGTGTGAGAGATAAGGCGATTCACAGTGCCTTGCCTCCCCACACTTGTCAGTGTGAGTGTGATAGTTGGGGAGACGGTGTGTGAACGGCGTCTGATCTATGATCAGCGTCTTCCTTGTTCACACAGCGTCCGGCAGCGTCTTCCTCTGTCCGACAGCGTATTCCTTATCATCGAACTCTACATACTGCTCCCGTTCACAGCCTAGTTATTGACAAGAAAATACGTCCTATGGCGCTTCAACGGCGAGGGCAGCTCACATGATCGGCCAGGAGCGTCACTGGCGCGGCGAGCCTCGTCAGCGCGACTGCGGACGCGACAAGCAGCGATGGAGGGACGAGCCGCGACGGTGCGATGAGCCGCGACAGCGTGATGAGCGACGGCGCGATGAGCAGCGCGAGCGTTGGTCCGACGAGCAATACGACCGGTACAGAGACGAGCGCGAGCGCGACTGGCACGATCGGCGCGACGATCGGTACCACGATCCCAGGCGCGACCATGACCGGCGCGACCGCCGGGGCGAGGGGCAGCCTCAGCACAGCGACCGCCGGTTGAGTCCGCCGATGCGCGGTGCGGGATCGCGCGGCGAGCGACAGAGCTCTGCTGCCGGCGGTCAGCTCAATGCTAAGCAGATCAACGGCCAGATCTCGAATGCTGGCAGCGCTGACGCATTGCTCGCGCTCTTTGCCGCCCACAGCGCGAGCTTGAACCACATCCACGCTGCAAACCTGTGGAACAAACTGGGCAAGCATCGCATCGAGCGTTGGCACGAGGAGCAGCTTGAGCGGCTGGTGCAGCGCACGCTTGACCTCGTCTCGTCATGCGAAGCACGCAACCTGGCCAACATCGCTCACGGCGTCGCCAAGTGCGGCCTGCGATCGAGGCTGGTGCACCCGCTGTACGTGGCGGTGGCGGAGGCGGCGGTGCGCGGCGGGCTGGCTGGCTTTGAGCCTCAGGCACTGGCCAACACTGTGTGGGCGTATGCGAAGGCGGGCGTGGCTACGGACGCGCTCTACGAGGCGGTGGCGGAGGCGGCGGTGCGCGGCAGGCTGGCTGGCTTCACGCCTCAGAACCTGTCCAACACGGCGTGGGCGTATGCGACGGCGGGCGTGGCTGCGGACGCGCTGTACGTGGCGGTGGCAGAGGCGGTGGTGCGGCGCGGGCTGGCCGGTTTTACGCCTCAGGACATGGCCAACACTGTGTGGGCGTATGCGAAGGCGGGCGTGGCTGCGGACGCACTGTACGAGGCGGTGGCGGAGGCGGCGGTGCGCGGCGGGCTGGCTGGCTTCAAGCCTCAGGAGCTGGCCAACACGGTGTGGGCGTATGCGACGGCGGGCGTGGCTGCGGACGCGCTCTACGAGGCGGTGGCGGAGGCGGCGGTGCGCGGCGGGCTGGCTGGCTTCACCCCTCAGAACCTGGCCAATACTGTGTGGGCGTATGCGAAGGCGGGCGTGGCCGCGGACGCGCTGTACGCGGCGGTGGCAGAGGCGGCGGTGCGGCACGGGGTGGCTGGCTTCCACCCACAGGCGCTGGCCAACACGGTGTGGGCGTATGCGACGGCAGACCAGTACCACTCGCTGCTGTTCGCCGAGTGTTTGCGCGTGGTCAGCGGCTCCCTTGGGGAGGGTCCGTCGGGTTATAGCATCGATGAGCGCCGTCAGCTGCACCAATGGCAGCTCTGGCTCTTCCTGGAACACGCCGCAGACGCGCAGCAGCACCTTCTCTCCGAGTCCGAGCGGCGGCTCTGCTGCGACGCCATGCACGACACACGTGTGAGGGTCTCGGCGCTGCAGCGCTCCGTTTCGGCTGCCCTCGCCGCCGTCCGTTTCGGCTTCGAGGAGGAGTATGTCGAGCCGCGCACCGGCTACTCGCTCGACCTGGCGCTGCCCTCGTCACGCATCGCGATCGAGGTGGACGGCCCCTTTCACTTCCTGCTGCCCGACTGCCGGGGTGTGCGCAAACCCAACGGGCCAACGCTGCTCAAGCGGCGCCTCCTCGCGGCGGCCGGCTGGCGGGTGATCAGCGTTCCGTTCTTCGAGTGGGACGGCTTGCATTCGGCCAGTGAGCGGCAAGCCTACCTGGAGAGAATGGTCGCCTCGCAATAGTAGTCTACCCGAGCGCGCGGCGCGCCAAAGAGAAACCTATGGGTGTCCGTAAACTGTCACCGCGTTGCCCAAGGATTTTTTTCTCTTTCACCGCGTTGCCAGCCCACAACCGTACAGTATACGCGCGTACCGTAGGAAGATCCCTTCACCCTGTGCGTGATAGCCGTGTGTTGTGCTTGTGGTCTCGGTTTTCATTGGGAATCGCGCGAATCGGGACCGGAGATGGCAGATGCGACTGCGAGAGACGGACTTCGCGTCGAGCTCTTAACCCTTTCGCGCCATAACGCTCCTGGTGAGCAAATCTCGATATATCTCCAGTCGTAGCGGTGGAACTTTAAAACGGCTCGGTAAATATTTAGCCCTGTATGAGAGGATCACGGCACAGTGTCGTTTGGGTCGACAGTAAATCTCCCACAGCCCACGTAAATCCGTCTTTTTCAGGCACCCGGAGCCCTCCGCGGCCGCTTCTACGCCGGCGAAGCACCATCAAGCTGCTGTACGGCCCCGGCATCGCCTCCCCTGGCTTAGCTCTCAGTCAATTAGGTGCCCTGTAGGCTTGGCTGCAAAGGGGATTTTTGTTGTGCCGACTTCGATCTTCGGAGGCGTGAATCCGTTAGGATTCTCGCCCGCTCTGCTGAGGGGAGGGGACGGTCGACTGGGCCGGTCGCTCGACCCGATTCTACTCTACTATCAGTCTTACCATTCATGGACAAGAGTGTCTGTGACGGCAGTGACATTCACAGCGAGGTCAGTTCACAGCCGAGCAGCCGATCCTGACACGCTCCACTTTCAGGGCTCGCCGCGGCTCGAGCAAGGTCTATGTCGATCGGCATCTTGCCAGCCTGTGGCTCGCCCGTCTACCGCTACCGCGCCTACCAGATATAGTCGCAGATGCAGGCTTGCGTTGGCGTGAGACGTCATTCGTCCACGCTGGCGCTTGCGGTGCCATTCTGTGCTGTGGTTCTCGTGCGGTTTTATCGTTCTTCGTTGCGATTGCCGTGGTGGCGGTGGGTGCAGCCGAGCCGAGTGTCGTCGTTGACGGCATCGCGCTCGTCTTTCGACTGCCTCGCTTCTTCTACCGACACGGAGACACGTGGGTCAGCGCGCAGTCGAAGATCTGGTATGCGTTTATCTTCTGTTGTCGTCGAGATTTCCGGCTGGGTCAGCTCACCGATGCGGCCCCGACCGGCCTTCGCGACAGCATCTGCGACGCTGCTCAGCCGCTGACGCCGCGAGAGTGGATCGCCATGGCGTGGCCAGCAGTACGGCTAGCTATGTCAGTGTCATTACCGTTGCAGTGATGTGGGACCCTCTGGCCAGCCTCTGGCACCATCTTGGATGCCGGCGCGGGTCCCCAGACTTGGACATATGCCAGTGGTGGCAGTCCATCCTCGCCTACCTCCGCACTGGAGGCAGGTAGTCGTAATATGGTCGAGTCTGGCGTCGATAGGACACAGGCCGACTCATTCTGCTTCAGTCCGCGCGCGCTGTCCCTGCAACCCACTTCGGCCCATCGACGGCCAGCACCCAGTGTCTGATTGACCCGCCGGCTGTGCGTCAGCAGCGGCTTCAGACGGGTCTGCGCCTGACGGGGATTTTGCATTGACGGGCTCTGCAGACAGCGCGTAGAAGCAACGACGCGAGGCCGTGGCCACAGTGTGGACTGCTGTGGTCTTCGGGATGGTCGCCGTGGTTTGCCTTTGCGGATCTATATGACAGATGCTCTGGATCCGCGCTCTGCTCAGTGCAGGGTGGTGAACCGCGAGCGTACTACTCGTAGCGACTGCAACCGCTGCGGATCAGGAGGCGATGCCACCTCGAGCCTGTACGCTCGCTGAATTCAGCTGTGGTCCTGCCGGGAGCAGGGCCTGGCTGACTCTCGCGCTCGTGTAACTGGTCTCAGGGACCGAGCGTCGGAGACGAGAGTATCTCCAGCTGTTGGTCCTGCCGGGAGCAGAACCCAGCTGGCTCGTACTCGTGTTCCTGCGGGGACCGGGTGCGAGTTGATACTTTCAAACGTCCGGATGGACAGTGTCAACCGTATTCGTGTTACTGCCGGGAGCAGCGGCCGGGTACGGGCGACATACATTCAGTGGGCCAGACAAGAGGTTGAGGCATCCCCGCCTTTGATTCCAGGGCGGTCGAGCAGCGGCCTGCAGGTGGCGGGCTGCTGCCGACCGACCCTAGGCTCCCGTTCAGCTTTCTTCCGCGTGTCGCATGGCCGTGGATGGAGGTATGGGCGAGGGTCGACCTCACTCGCCGCCGTTAATTACGGCAGACGCGGTCGGCCCCGTCTCGACGCCCTCAAGGGCGGGGGACGGGCCACGACATGCCGCCCTCCGAGTAGTTATGGAGGTATGTGGCGCCGTCAACATGCTCCCGAGTAAGTCGGTGTGGCTGGGAGCGCCCCGCACGACTACCCGTCCTAAATGGGGATCGTGGTCTTCGTGTGGGGCAACAGGCGAGTGCGGCGCGCTCCACGGTCAATCTCCGACCCTTCGACCCGCGTGGCGTAGGGTCTGAGAGACGGCCGCCGAGGATGTCGGGCGGGTTCGGTTGCGGTCGGATGGACCTGTCACTGATGACACCGACTCGACTGGGGCGTTGCCGGAGGCGATGGCGGGAGGGCACTCGATGGGCCCGCCATCGACCACTGATAGGAGATTGGCGCGTGGGCCATGGTTGTTGGGCGCGTGGGCCGAGGTGGTTGGCGCGTGGGCCAAGGGTGGACAGGATGGCCAAGGCTGGCCGAGATAGGCCGAGGTTGGCCGAGATTGGCCGAGGTCGGCCGAGGTTGGCCGGGGTTGGCCGAGATTGGCCGAGATTTGCCGAGATTGGCCGAGATTGGCCGAGATCGGCCGAGGCTGTCCAGAGATCCGCCGAGAGCGTCCCTCACTCGCCTTTTTCTGTGTAGGGACTTTGAGTAGATGCTTGACTAGTCTCACGCTCGGATTCAGATTCAGAGAGATCTACTGGCTGCTACCAGGACCAGCTCTGGGCGCACGCCAGATGGGCAGGTTGATCGATCCACTCGTGGTCGATCTTTCAGTTGCCTCGCGCGACGCATGATGATTGCGGCCGATGTCGTCGATGGGGCAACAGTGGTCGATTGACGACGCGGTTGGAGAGTGCTCTTCGACGTCGAAGCAGCAGTCCGTATGGGCAGGATCTTCAACTCGTTCAGTTAAAATTTTGGTCACGACGAAGCAGCAATCAGGTCGGCAGCTGCTATCGTTTAAGTCGACAGTGGCAACGGTGTTTGACACTGTTGATGAGTGCAACTGTGGCGTGCTTGCCACCCAAGCGAGTGTAGGCCCGACTCGCGTCGGGTGCTATTTCCTCATCGTCATCGCTACGGCGGGGGCGGGGGGGTTTTACCGGAGCACCGGACTACTCGCTGGGATAGTTGCGAGATCGGTCGATAATCACGATCGGTCGCTCGGGCGCATGGTCGTGCGACGTCAGCGACCCAACCGCCAGTTGCCCTTATCTTTGACTGTGATTCAAGGAGGTCTATGCGTGGGGTTCAGCTGAGCTTAGGCCGTTCCGGGCGTCGACCTTCCAACATACCACATCAAAGGCCGAGCGTGGGGGAGGCTCAGCAGCCCACCACCAGGGAGGTTTCGTCAGTCTCGGCGTCGCATCTGCCGCGCCGAGATTCGACGGACCGAAGGGGTAGAGGCTAGCGCTCTCGGTCGAGAGACGCGCAATACTCAAGACAAATTACTACCACCTTCGTACAACTCAACGTGCATTCATGCAACGCGTGCAACGCTGCACAGTGCTCAGGGTTCGAGCAGGTGCAGGCGAGTGGAGGGGCCCCTGGCAGAGGAGGCGTGAATCCGTTAGGATTCTCGCCCGCTCTGCTGAGGGGAGGGGACGGTCGACTGGGCCGGTCGCTCGACCCGATTCTACTCTACTATCAGTCTTACCATTCATGGACAAGAGTGTCTGTGACGGCAGTGACATTCACAGCGAGGTCAGTTCACAGCCGAGCAGCCGATCCTGACACGCTCCACTTTCAGGGCTCGCCGCGGCTCGAGCAAGGTCTATGTCGATCGGCATCTTGCCAGCCTGTGGCTCGTCCGTCTACCGCTACCGCGCCTACCAGATATAGTCGCCCCTCCCGCCCACGCCGGCGACTGTCTTAGGTACAGATGACATCTGGATGACTGCGCATAATGGGGTTGACCCGCCGCGCAGCAACCCGATGTTCACTACTTAGGTTTCCGTCGAGTGACGAGTCTCGTCCGAGACATCTAGTCTCATCCCGCCTCGTGGCATGTGTTGTCTAGGGTGTCACGAGTGTCCCTGTGGTGTTCTTGTGTGGGGGGAGGCTCAGCAGCCCACCACCAGGGAGGTTTCGTCAGTCTCGGCGTCGCATCTGCCGCGCCGAGATTCGACGGACCGAAGGGGTAGAGGCTAGCGCTCTCGGTCGAGAGACGCGCAATACTCAAGACAAATTACTACCACCTTCGTACAACTCAACGTGCATTCATGCAACGCGTGCAACGCTGCACAGTGCTCAGGGTTCGAGCAGGTGCAGGCGAGTGGAGGGGCCCCTGGCAGAGACTGTTCTTTACGCCACCTTGCTCAACCCTTGCGTTGGTGACCGTCGCGGCTTCGCGTCACTTCTAAGCCACGAGGACGTACTCCGCAGGCACCCACGCTACATGACCTCGGCGGCGCTCATCTGCGCGGCCGCCGCCAGCTTTCTGGTCGGCGGCGGCCCTCGGGCGCCTGCGGCGCTGCCGCGTGCGAGCCGCATCATCGCCGCAATCGACTACAAGGACCCGGCGGTGGCCGCCGAGTTCCAAAAGGTGCAGGAGCGGCCGATCGAGCTCGTCGAGGCCGAGATCGAGAAGAGCGGCGTCCCGGTCCCTCCGTCGCTCAACGAGATGGACATGCGGCTGATGCTGGTGGAGCTGCGGATGCGAAAGGCGGGGACGATGCCGGGCGGCGGCAAGGCGGCGCCGAAGAAGCCTGCGAACTACGGCTCAAAGTACGAGGAGGCGCTCTGGGAGAAGCCCGCCTTCAAGCGCCTGATCGACGACTACCGCGCGCGCGGCAACACAAACGCGCTCAACCTCGCGACGGTCCGAGATAGCCGAGATACAATCTCGCGACGGTCGAGATAGCCGAGATACAATCTCGCGACGGGCCGCCTCTCTCCTCGGCCCCACTCTGCTCCCGCTCGCGCGCGCGCCGCTCACGCGCGCCCTCCATGGCGCCCCGCTCCACGCGTCTCTCCAAACTCTCGCCTCCAAACTCTCGCGCTCCCGACGCGGACACACAGCGCCGCCCCGCACAAGTCCAAGTGCCATGAGGTGCGCCTCTAGCTCACGCGAGTCCACCTCCAGCCGACGGCGGGACACGGAGCCGCCCCACGGGCAGACACCCCACGGCACGGGGGAGAGCAGCGTGCAGCCCTGACCCGCCGTGTCGCCGCACCCCAGTCAGACGACAGCCAGTCAGTCAGTGGTACACACGTCTAGCACGGACGACGGAGCACACGCACTCGCGGAACACAGGGCATTACACACGAGGCGGTGTGTGCGTTCTCAGGGAGAGGCATCACCACAGACAAAAGTGCAATAGTCAGAGGGGCAGCAGTGGAGACCCCAGCACCCCACTCACGCACCCCAGTCAGCCCACGTGTGATAACGTCAGT